TCAGTCGACACTCTCAACCAATCACAGCATTAAAACTGTTTAATGCTGAATGACATTAAGGCACCAGGGGATTCCAGACACTATAACCAGTCTAACGAGATGAAACAGATACAATGTAGGCACTGTATCTGCTTCATCTATTTAAGGTTTTACTCATCAATGGCTAGTATTTGAATTGAAATGTTGAGTAATCTGATAAGTTTTGCACTTCATACCTATGATTAATTATTTGAATGAATGCTTGCAATTTTAATTCACACTGTTGAGTTTTTAGAGATTGTGGTTATTTAATTTAAGGACACATGGCATTTGTGACATGTCATGATTCCCTTTTATTCCAGAAGTTTGGTCCTTAAGGGGTTAACCATACTTTAAAATGTTCTATAGCGCTGACATTTTTGGTGTTTTATTTCGGTTTTATTTGCTGGTCCACCCTGGGTGACAGTCAGAAGGTCATGCCTGTCACTCTTTGTAGCATGGCCACGTGGACCCTGGTATAGGATTTCATTCTTCTCTATCTCCAGTTCTAGAAATGAGGGTGCGGCAGCCAGCACCCACTGTCTGGTAATTGCCACATGTTGACAGGGAAACAAGAATGAGTCCCTGCTCCCCCAACCACTAGACACCAAGGACTGTTCTCCGACATCTGCTATTCCCCTTTTCCCTGTACCCATAAAGGCAGGAGGCAGATTTGATGTTGTGCCTGTAACTTTCTGTATGAATGAGTGTCTATATGTGCGTGACAGTAACAATGTGTGTGTCTGTCACTATGTGTATGATGTTTGCTTATAACTGTGTAATTACAGGGAGTGCCGAATTATTAGGCAAGTTGTATTTTTGAGGATTAATTTTATTATTGAACAACAACCATGTTCTCAATGAACCCAAAAAACTCATTAATATCAAAGCTGAATATTTTTGGAAGTAGTTTTTAGTTTGTTTTTAGTTTTAGCTATGTTAGGGGGATATCTGTGTGTGCAGGTGACTATTACTGTGCATAATTATTAGGCAACTTAACAAAAAACAAATATATACCCATTACAATTATTTATTATTACCAGTGAAACCAATATAACATCTCAACATTCACAAATATACATTTCTGACATTCAAAAACAAAACAAAAACAAATCAGTGACCAATATAGCCACCTTTCTTTGCAAGGACACTCAAAAGCCTGCCATCCATGGATTCTGTCAGTGTTTTGATCTGTTCACCATCAACATTGCGTGCAGCAGCAACCACAGCCTCCCAGACACTGTTCAGAGAGGTGTACTGTTTTCCCTCCTTGTAAATCTCATATTTGATGATGGACCACAGATCAGGTGAACAAGGAAGCCATGTCATTAGATTTTCTTCTTTTATACCCTTTCTTGCCAGCCACGCTGTGGAGTACTTGGACGCGTGTGATGGAGCATTGTCCTGCATGAAAATCATGTTTTTCTTGAAGGATGCAGACTTCTTCCTGTACCACTGCTTGAAGAAGGTGTCTTCCAGGAACTGGCAGTAGGACTGGGAGTTGAGCTTGACTCCATCCTCAACCCGAAAAGGCCCCACAAGCTCATCTTTGATGATACCAGCCCAAACCAGTACTCCACCTCCACCTTGCTGGCGTCTGAGTCGGACTGGAGCTCTCTGCCCTTTACCAATCCAGCCACGGGCCCATCCATCTGGCCCATCAAGACTCACTCTCATTTCATCAGTCCATAAAACCTTAGAAAAATCAGTCTTGAGATATTTCTTGGCCCAGTCTTGACGTTTCAGCTTGTGTGTCTTGTTCAGTGGTGGTCGTCTTTCAGCCTTTCTTACCTTGGCCATGTCTCTGAGTATTGCACACCTTGTGCTTTTGGGCACTCCAGTGATGTTGCAGCTCTGAAATATGGCCAAACTGGTGGCAAGTGGCATCGTGGCAGCTGCACGCTTGACTTTTCTCAGTTCATGGGCAGTTATTTTGCGCCTTGGTTTTTCCACACGCTTCTTGCGACCCTGTTGACTATTTTGAATGAAACGCTTGATTGTTCGATGATCACGCTTCAGAAGCTTTGCAATTTTAAGAGTGCTGCATCCCTCTGCAAGATATCTCACTATTTTTGACTTTTCTGAGCCTGTCAAGTCCTTCTTTTGACCCATTTTGCCAAAGGAAAGGAAGTTGCCTAATAATTATGCACACCTGATATAGGGTGTTGATGTCATTAGACCACACCCCTTCTCATTACAGAGATGCACATCACCTAATATGCTTAATTGGTAGTAGGCTTTCGAGCCTATACAGCTTGGAGTAAGACAACATGCATAAAGAGGATGATGTGGTCAAAATACTCATTTGCCTAATAATTCTGCACTCCCTGTATACCTGTGTGTGTGCCTCTGACTGTGTGTTTCTGTGTGTATCAGTATACAATATACTGTATGTATGTGACTGTGAGCATCTTACTGTGGAACTGTGTCTCTCTGACTGTGCATTTGAATGTCTCAGTATACATATGTGACTGTGTATGACTGTGTACCTGTGACTTAGTATGTTTGTGTGACTGAGTATACATGTATATAGTATGTTTGTGTGTGAGTATACATGTATAAATGTGCGTTTGTATGTGACTGTGTGTCTGTCACGGGATGGCAGTCCGAAAACCGGGACCCCTGAGTGCCTGATGTTGTTGGGAGTCTCAGCGTGGTAATGGACTATCAGGGCCTGGTGCAGGGCAATCACACGCCCTCTGGTGTTGAGCACCAGCGTTTATGCGGCCACATACCAGAACCCTGATGCAGCTACAGCGGATCTCAGGAACTTAAAGCTGGAAAGTAAGCAGACCTCCCAGGAGCTGAATAGGGAGGCTCTGCAGCAAGATTGTATCCAGTACAGAAACAAGGCAAGGCTAGGATAGTCACCAAACATGAAAACAAGACAGAACTAGTAGAACCCAGAACCAGAGAAGGATAGGAAGCTAAACCCAGAACATGTACACAATACATAAGGGAACATTAACTAAACAGGGGCAGGACAGGACTGTACATGGACTGGGAATACAAACTAAAACAAGACCAGATATGATAGGCAAAACAAGAGGAGAAATAACTAAGTACTATATATGGAAATCATGGGGATTTAGTTACATTATATGATCATACATTGCATAAGCCTGCCAACAATGCCAATGTACTCCATATCTGGCAGGTCCTACTCTGCCTCATGCAAGCTAAACCAACCAAAGAAAACACACATAGTACTCACCTGCAAGAAAGGGCAGAAGACTTGAGCAGCTGCCTGCAGGGACACTGAAACAAAAGGCATGATGGAAAACAAACGGGTGTGGCAACATAAAACAAACATTTAAAGGAAACCTGGACACTGGGAATACCAGGGACGGATTACAGGAATGAACCCAGAAAAACCCAGCATAAAGAAAACCAGATATAGAATAGAAAACCAAAAAAACAAGAAAAACTAAACAAGAATTGTAAAAAGAGTACTGGATACCAGAAGCCAAGGCCAGACATCTCTGCAGAATATGGCATGATGTAACAGTGTCTAGGTATAATATGTATGTGTAAGTGACTATGTATATAATTGAGTAATTATGCATGCTGTGACAGTGTGTGAGTGTCTGTGAGTGTGACTGCATGTCACTGTTTGTATGTAAATGCAGGTATGTTTGCATGTCTGTGTATCTATGGGGGAAACAAAAAAGGGTTTAAGGGCTAAGAAACACACAAGAATGGTGAAAAGATATATACAAATGGATGAGTGGGTGTGGAGTGACAGACAAAAGTTTAAAAGTCGAGGGAGGGGGACAACATACATTTACATTTTTAGTGACAAGTGACTTAGGTATTCCTCCAGTAAGGGGTAGGCAACCTTTGGCACCCTAGATGTTGTGGACTACATCTCCATTGATACTTTGCCAGCATTGTGACTGTAAGAGCATTATAGAAGATGTAGTCCAAATCATCTGGTGTGCCGAAAGTCTAGTTCTTACTTTATCTTTTAAATGTTTAACATTGCTCTCTAAATTTGTGTTTTACAATGCTTTAAGATGCATGATGCATTTTATAGATGAAAAAAGTCATTGATTATTTCAAATGATCAGCGTGCCTTTATGTTCACAATTATAAGAAAATGCAGTGAATACACAGATCATCTTACAGATATGTTTTAAGCACAAACCCCAAAATAAAGACCATACTTTATAATATTAATGTGTATTTTAAACATTTTCTAGAAATTACCACACTTGGCAGACAGCACCTGATAAAATACAAATCCATAATTCAGTCTACGTTTAAAGATGTTGTGCTGACATTTGTTAATGGGTGTCCCATGACAAGAACAAAGTCCTGGAGTAAAAAAATATAAAAACTGATGCACATTAAAAGGAATGTTTTTTGGTTTTAAGATTCTACTTTGAAGCAAGAATGGTGAATTGCAATGAATCATCACCCAAATACTTTTTGCTTCAAGGTCTATCGGATGACCTGCAGTTGCAACAGTTTATATCATGGGTCGTCAACCTGGTCCCTACCGCCCACTAGTGGGCGTTTTAGGATTCCAGGTGGGCGGTAGGGATTTCTGAGGCTAAATCCTCTTTTTAAGAGGATTTCTCCTTTTGGGCGGGCGCGAGCGGCTCTGCATGCGCAAGTCTTCAGTGACCGGCAGGAGGAAGCGCTCCCTCCTGCCAGGCCACCTTCTGGACCCCCGGCATGGCAGCGTTCTAATCAGTCGCGGCGAGGGAGCTCTAACCTCTCTGCTCTGCTCCCTCGCGCGATGTTTGCTGATGCCGCGGGAGCCGGAATATGATGTCATATTCCGGCTCCCGGCATCCGTAGACAGTCCGCGAGGGAGCAGAGCAGAGAGGTTAGAGCTCCCTCGCTGCGTCTGATTAGCCGCCCGCCTAAGTGAAGCCCACTGGACCCCAGGGACAGATCCACACCAGCTCTCCAGGTAGGGAGGCTGGGTGGATATTTAATATTAATAATTTGTGTGTACATGTGTTTGTCTCTAAGTGTATGTGTGTGTGTCTGTAAGTGTATGTGTGTGTGTCTGTAAGTGTATGTGTGTGTCTGTGTCTGTAAGTGTATGTGTGTGTCTGTGTCTGTAAGTGTATGTGTGTGTCTGTGTCTGTAAGTGTATGTGTCTGTCTGTAAGTGTATGTGTCTGTCTGTAAGTGTATGTGTGTGTGTGTCTGTAAGTGTATGTGTGTGTGTCTGTAAGTGTATGTGTGTGTGTCTGTAAGTGTGTGTGTGTGTGTGTGTGTGTGTGTCTGTAAGTATATGTGTCTGTGTCTGTAAGTGTATGTGTCTGTGTCTGTAAGTGTATGTGTGTCTGTGGGTCTGTCTGTGTATGTGTGAGTGTCTGTAAGTGCATGTGTGAGTATGTGTATATTTGTGTGTATGTGTTTCTATGTGAGTGTGTGTGTGTGTGTGTATGTGTTTGTCTGTGAGCAGAGTACTTGTAGAATAGAAGAAAGAAGGTGCAGAGTACTTGTAGAATAGAAGAAAGAAGGTGCAGAGTACTTCTAGTATAGGGAAAGAAGGAGTAGAGTACTTCTAGTATAGGGGAAAGAAGGAGTAGAGTACTTCTAGTATAGGGGAAAGAAGGAGTAGAGTACTTCTAGTATAGAGGAAAGAAGGAGTAGAGTACTTGTAAAAAAGGAGAAGGAAAGAAAAGGAAAAGGAGAGAATTGTTGTTGACTAATAATAGTAAGTGGGCTACCTAGCTCAGCCTTCCTACTGGGCATTGCTATAAGGAAGGTTAAAAAATAGAAAAAAGGGGAAAAAGGTGGGAAGGGGAATTGAGGAGGGAGAGGAGGGGAGCTGACGCACAGATGAGAAATCATTTTATGAGCAAACAAAGAAGTCTTCCGATTATCACTGAAAGAGGAGACCTTCGTTTGTTCCTTATGAAAATCGAACCAGATATCAAATATTTAGTCTCGCAGCATCAACCTCTAGTAAAGGTAAGTTCAATTTACTTTATTGCTTCCTCATTAAACTTTATAAAGTTAAAAACATTATAAACATGCATAAAGTAGAAAGAAAAAGATAAATGTACGTTCATTTATGTATTTTTTAAAACACCCTCCTTTCTAAAAAATATTCCGCGCTTGCGCGAAAACTGGTGGGCGGTAAGGAAATTTTTCCATCAAGAAAGATGCATTAGTGGGCGGTAAGTGGAAAAAGGTTGACTACCACTGGTTTATATTCTTCTCATTTTTAGCAATCTACCTTCTAACTCTGGTTGGAAACGCTGCCATTCTCACAACAATTCAGTTAAGTGTTAACCTAAGCACGCCCATGTACTACTTTGTAAGTCATCTGTCTTTTTTAGATATGTGCTACACCACCGTCACTATCCCGAATATGCTGGAGAACCCGCTATTGGGAAGCCGAGTTATATCATATAGTGCCTGTTTTGTTCAGCTTTTTCTCTTCATTTCATTTGGACAGTCAGAGAGCTTCCTTTTGGCTGTGATGGCATTTGACCGATATGCAGCCATCTGCTTGCCTTTACGATACATGGACATCATAACCCACAGAATTTGCCTACAGTTGGTGGTCTCCACATGGCTTGCAAGTCTTTTGAACGCTGCTCTCCATACTAGTTTGGCATCACGTCTGTCATATTGCTCATCCCATGAAATCTCTCACTTTTTCTGTGATATCACTCCTTTGCTAAAGATCTCTTGTGAAAGCACCCTTATAAATGAGATTGTCATATACGTGGCTGGAGTTTTTGTAGTACTCATGCCCTTCCTATGCATTCTGCTCTCTTATGTACACATTATCATAGCAATCCTGATGATCCCATCATCTACAGGAAGACAAAAGACTTTCTCTACCTGCAGTTCACACCTGGTTGTGGTTTGCATGTTCTATGGCACAATTATTCTGATGTATATGCGACCTGCATCTCATTCTCAAGAACATGACAAAGTATTTGCAGTGATATATACCTTCATCACACCTTTGCTAAACCCATTTATTTATGGTATAAAAAATAGGGAAATAAAAGAGTCTTTCAAAAAAATCTTTAGAAAAGGTAATTGTGATTTAGGCTCCAGGTCTATCAGTTGCTGAGTTACAGATATTTCTCTACAAATCTATCAAAAGATCTAAAACAAGTAGGTGCACTGTTAAACAGTCAATTTCACGTAAATTATGGTCACAATAAAATTACATTAATCGCCAGAGTATAACATAAATAGTTTGTAGAGTACTTCAGGTTCCTGTCCTTCATCCACCTCACTATAATTTGTTTAATAATTATTTTGCAAAGGGCATCAAAAGATATTTGCAAAAACAAAACTAGGAAGGTAACAAATTAGGCAAGATATTCCTTATCTGTAGATTGATTTAGATAAGTTAGGGGATTTGGGAGGCAAGTCGCAAACAAGATTTCTTTATTTTGGACGAGAAAGCAAAATATTAAATATACCTCAAATGTCAGTCAGCTGCTGCAAAAGTCCATAAGGTACAGTTATGCATAAAAATGGTTCTAATTCATGATCAAAATATAATTTTATCTCTTTATAAATCAAAGTTGAAAAAACTAAAGAAAAATAAAAGAAAAAATCTACCAGAAATTGTGTGTTTTAAATGTGAGTGTGTAAGATAAAACAACTTTTAATTAATATCTTGAATATGATAAAAAATATGAGAGAGTAACAAAAATTAATAAAAACAACCAAATGGAAAGTACAGTCCTCTATAAAAGTGAAAATCTTGGTTTACCACCAGTAATATATCGCTAGGATCCTGGAAGTAAACCAAGTATGCAAATGAACATAAATGTAACACTGTCTTGGTTGTTAAATTCCACGGCTTCAAAGGTATAGGGTAAAATGCCACAGAGGTATATCTCCTAATGCTGAGTCTAATTTCGAGGGCACCCCTTAAAAAAATTCTACTCTATAATACCACCACCCGCTGTAGCCCCTATAGTCTAAGTCTCTAAGATACAAGCGGACACCAAATTGATACAAAGTAACAGGAGGACTGCACGACCATGTGGAACAAGGAAGATGCTGCTCGTAGTGTCGGCTGTCTATTATAAGATCAGTAGTGAATGCTAAGACCAAAAGTATAACGAGTGAGCATCTTGAGCCCCTGATGCATGCGTTTTGCCAGAGTGGCTCATCAGAGGGGAACCAGACACAGGTAAGTGCCGGTATTTTAAATGTTAAAGCTGTCGGTAATTGGTTAAACAATTTTGTGTGTTAGCCAATGGTGGGGGGGGAGAGGTGTGTCAATGATACTGGCGTTGTAACATTAACCCCGACAGCTACAGCTGTAAATGAATCGATAGATGTTCATAAATGTTCATTTCTAATTTTAACTGTAGGAACACTTAATAAATAGAAAAAAAAAACAAATAAGTAAAAAATAAAATATAATGAAATAAATGCTCACACCATTAGTATTTGTTGTATTTGAACTATAAAGAATACGTATGGATTCAGAATGATAGCTAATGATATAGTTGAGTTAAGCCATATTTTATAACAGTTTATAGGAAGAGAAAAGAGTATCAAAGTCAATCGAATTTAAATTTTATGAAGTAACATTATAAGTTATTTCTCAATATTTGGTTCTAATGACAGATATGGAACTTCTGTTAGAGAGCTCATAAGAACACAAATGGATAATATCATAGCCATTATTTGATAACAGTAGAATATGCAATAAACAAATAAATGTAATAAAGTAATATTAGAATCTCAGACTAAGAATCTTATATTCAGCGTATTGGCTGATCTTAATAATGCTGTGCAATAGTAAGAGTCACTAATAATGAATCATCATTATCAAGTATAGTGTTAGCTTAAGCTAAATAATTAAACGGATAAATGTTGGATCAGCGCTATATGATCAACCTGAAGCTAAAATAAGTGTTGGGCTGCAACCTATAAGTATTAGGTTCCCTCACAAACCATCAAAAAAGAATAGGAGACAATAAAAATTAAAATAGGTCGCGCCACAATAAACTGTAAATATAGACTTCAGTGGTGTACTTACATATATCAAACACACCAAATTTTACAATAGTCCTGATATTGAGTGGACAGGTAGAGAGTCAAGTTGACCTGCAGGAGCTTGAGTTTGATGCAAGTCTGTATAGGTTTTGGGTCTTCAAATGGTCGAGTTTTCTTGGCTCGGGTTAAAATATGTGAACACAAAAAGAAAAACTCCAATAGTGCAAACTGACAATAGACCGGAAAAGTAAAGCTTCACAGCAGGGTGGTATTTCACTCAACTATTAGAGAGCTAGAACTAGCTCAGGTATAACTGGCATTCAGTGGCGTCGATCCCCCATTGGTAGGATATAGGTGTTGGTAGACGGAAGAGTTCCTTGGTATGGGGAAGAAACAGAACCAAATATAGTGCTCACTGTATATCTTATAAGGCAGGTTGGTATAATAAAAATAAAGTAAATAAAAATCTTCTTTCTTCCAGTCTAAACGCATGTCCTCATGTCCTATGTAAAGTCCGGTTTGTGAATAGATTTCCACACAATGGTTTATATTGGCCCCGAATATATTTGTATAATGTTATCATATCCCCTCTTTCTTCATAGCTGATATGTTCCATTCCTTTTATTAATTTTGTAGCCCGCCTCTGCACTTTTTCTAGTGCCATAATATCCTTCTTTAGAACAGGTGCCGAAAATTGCACAGCATATTCAATATGTGGTCTTACCAGTGATTTATAAAGAGGCAAAATGATATTCTCGTCCGAGAATGAATGCCCTTTTTCATGCATGACAATACCTTACTGGCCTTGGCCACTGCTGATTGACATTGCACATTGTTGCATAGTTTGTTGTCTATAACAATTCCCAGGTCCTTTTCGTGTGTTGTTATCCCTAATTCGCTTCCATTAAGGGTATACGTTGCTTGTGTATTCTTTATGCCGAAGTGCATAACTTTGCATTTTTCAACATTAAATTTCATCTGCCATTTGAGTGCCCAGTCCCCCAGTCTATCTAAGTCCCTCTGCAGCAAAGTAATATCTTGCTCACATTCTATTATTTTACAAAGTTTTGTGTCATCTGCAAACACTGAAACATGACTTTCAATGCTGTCTTCAAGATCATTTATAAATATGTTAAATAGAAGGGGTCCCAGAACAGACCCCTGAGAGACACCACTTGCCATCTCTGTCCAGCTTGAAAATTTACCATTAATGACAACTCTTTGTACTCTATTTTTAAGCCAATGTTCAACCCAAGAACAAGCATTTTCATGTAGACCGATTTCCTTAAGTTTGAACACTAATCTATTGTGTGGAACTGTATCAAATGCTTTGGCAAAATCCAAATAGATCACATCCATGGCAACACCCTGATCTATACTTCTACTTACTTCTTCGTAGA